GTTATCGCATGCACCCCCTGCTCCTGTCCTGGCCCAATGTTGCCTTCTACAATAACTCAATACGGTCGGGGCTCACTGATCCGTTCACGCAAAGGCCCTTAGTTGAAGGACTACCGTGGCGGGAGCTACTGCCCTGGGACAGAGAAAGGCTCGAAGCGCTAGCCGAAGCCACGGCCCCCCCCACGGAAGACTTGGAGAAGTTACTGCGGGACCTCGCACCGGAACCCCAGAGTCTAGAAAAAAAAGGCACCGATTCCTCCTGGTGGACAACCCCTCCCTCGAGGTCACTTCCAACCTTCACTCAGGGTATGCGAAGCTCCCAGAGGCCGCGCAAACAGTGGACATCGTGCGAGCGCTCCTGCCCGCCATGAGGAACGGCACGACAGTGCGCGTCGTGGTGGGCTACCAGCTACAATGCGCTGTCCTTGAGAACGGTTGGCCCCAGACAGGGCGAAGCATCAGCGGCGCCCTCGGGCAGACCAAGGCCAAGGATAAAGGAAGGGCAAGGGCGGACCAGCCAAGACGGGAGACCACCCCACGCATCCCCCCGAGCATGACGATGAGACCAAGGACCACGAACGGGTGTTCGCACAATGGAGCTCCCCCCTCACCGGGATCGGCCTGCGTTTCCTTGGGCTGCGACAAATTGCAGAGGAGCACCTTGCCAGCGGCAAGCTAGCCATCTCCACCATAGATTCAGTCAGGGCGGGGAGGCCGATCTAGTTATTTACCTGACCGCCCGGTCCAACAGCTGGCATGACTGGGGTTTTATGGACAATCCCAACAGAGTGAACGTCGCGATCACGCGCGCCACCACCAACGTGGTCATCCTCGGGGACGGATGGATGTTTGGCACCGCCACAGGAGCTCGCTTGCGGGAGCTCTCGGAGCACGGGAGGTTTGCCAAACTTTGGGCCCGCTTCGAAGGGGCCAGCCTGGGCACAAGGGTGAACCTGCAGACCGACAAGGAGTTTGACCCCATCAAGGACCTCACCACATGGATACCTGCTGCCCCCACCCACACCGGGGGCGATAGCATAAAAGGTCTAGGCGACGCCATCAAGAAGGCCAAGACATCCATGGAGAACAGCTTTGTGGAGCGCATTGCTGCTCCGCTTGATCCCCTGTTCTCCTGGGACAAGCCCGGCGAAGCCCTTACAGACAGCGTGCAGAGGCTTGTTGACGACCCCACAATGGGAATCATCCTCTACACTGTGGCCGGGCTCCATCCCCACCAGTGGCCCATGGGTGCCACCCCCAGGCAGCCGGGCAGTCTCGATAGGAAGGCCTGGAGCCACCTGGGGTATTGCCTGGACGTGGAGGTCGGAATTGACGCCAGCAGTCTGGTCTACAACCTTACGTGGGCAGCCTTGGTCTGGTTCTTTGGACTGGGCACACCTTGGCACGCTACGCAGCTGAGTGCCCCGCTCACCCCACTCCCCCCGCTGCCCCACGTTGTTGGTAACAATCGCCGCCCCAAGCCCTCAAGCAGGTGCACCCCCGTCGGCGCGCTCCCCCAGTTCCCCGCTGCCTGGAGCCCCGCCACATGCAGCTGCAAACGCCACAGGGTACACCCTGGGATGGAGCACCTACACTCCTTGCTCCGCCCAGAACAAGTCGACCCAGCTCTTACGCCTGCCCTGAGTGGTAACGACGGGCGCCCACTCAACACCCCCACGCTCAGAGCCCTACTTGTGGTGATGATGCTGCAACTGCGGGAGCCGCGCGCTACGCTCTGGCCATTCCCACACCCAGAGGCCACAGGTGACATCATAGAGGCGGCGATGGGCCTCTGCCTCCCGTGGCAGGAGGCACACAAGGAGTTTCGCAGCCAGTTTGCTGCCATGGGGCTTCAAGCTTGCCGACTTCGCCTCCCTCCGCGCCAAGATGGAGCAGGTCATCCGCCACATTTGCACGCTGGCCACCCTCGCTCATCACCATGAGATTGCGGCGACGCACAAATTCCCCCAGACATGGGCCGGAATGCAGGAGCATGACTTCACCCTGGAGGCCCCCTATGCGCGTACTGGAAGTGATAGTCCAGCCCGCGAATGTCAACCAGCTAAGCAATGGAGACTGCTCCATCTGCCAGCTGCACAAGGCGCTGACGGGATCAGAGGAGGGGCTTGGCAGTCCACGAACCATGTCAGACCTGATGCACATAGGAGGCGGGGTCGCGATGTCCAACCGCCGCCTCGACGAAGACTTCCCGGCCTCGCCAGCTCCAGGTGCAGCGCTATCCCCCCCGATAGTACGGGGCGAGCGATTCTGCAGGCTGCAGAAGGACGCCAGCCACAACTGCGACGGCTGCACCAGCACGGGACTACAGGCAGCAGCTGGCACCTGGGAGGACGATGACACCCGTGAGCTGCTAGCTCAGAACCGCGCGCAGGCATACATGAAGGGCAAGAACTGCAGGTGGCTCTGTGAGCTGTGCTGGGTCAGGTCCCTGGAAAGTAAAGGAATTCATGTACCTGACCCCAACCAGGCTGAAGGCGGCACCAAGAAGGCCATGCAGCAGCGTCTCCAGGAGTACAAGCGCGGAGTGGAAGAAGACCGAGCGCGCAAGAGAGCTCGGACCCTCCCCTCGCTGTCCAGCCTCCCGCTGGGGTTCGGTCGGCCTAACGATGCCTCGGCCCCTTCCTCCCCGAAGGACCTCGTCACGCGTGCGCCGCGCCCCTTCCGGCCAGCCAGTGCCGGCACCACCCTCCCACCCCACAGGCATACCGACGGCAGGTTTGGCGCAGAAGCGCACCACACCCAAATGTACTCAGCCACATGCGACACCTGCCCCCCCGGCCCCCCCTCGCTGGAATGGATGCCGGGCCGCCCAGCCCTCGGATGCTTCATGTGGCGCCCAGAGGCAGACGCCAACTGCAACGAGCAGACAGGTCTCCCGCCGTGGGACGCAATGCCCCTCCTATGGGTCACACGGAAGTGGGACGCGGGATGGGCCTGCAGGAGGTGCCTTGTTCACATCTGGAACATCGCCCCGGGCGTCCTCGACCACGTACTCGACAACTACTCCAGCGAGGTTTACCTTGCAATCCCTACCATGCGGCAGGCCACAACCGACATCCCCGAAGACTGGTACAACTAAGACATATCTACGCACCTCTCCCCAGCCAGCCGGGCCCCAGTCGCGGACGCGGACGCGCCGATCCCACCGCGCGATGACCGGGCGGCGCAGCTCCCCGCCGCGCACGGTGAACTAAGGGGTTCGACCGATGGAGCTTCTATCCACTACTCTTTCCCCGACCTGCTGCCGCCCCCAGCGCCCCTGCTGCCCGCGTATTCCGCCCTCCGTCTGGCAGGGGGTGGGTCGAGAACCCCTGTTCGCGCCCTGGTGAAGTACCTGATTGAGTGGAGCCACGCAGTCTACACCCTCTGGGCGGCCTACGTGCAGCAGCTGGGAAAGGACATCGTGGGCGATGTAACCGACGAAACGGGATGGCCCTTCGAGCATCTGCAAAGGAGGAGATGGAAAAACGTTCACTCCCCCCCCAACGAGGCCAACATTGGGCCAAAACCTTAGTAGACCCAATGATTTGGGCGCCCAGAGGGCTGGTGGGATAGCGTTCAGCTCACCCTTCAAACAAAAAAACAAACATGTGCCAAAACCTTAGTAAAAACCAGTGATTTGGGCGCCCAGAGGGCTGGTGGGATAGCGTTCAGCCCCCCCCCCAAAAAAAAATCGCCACACATTTATCAAAACCTTGATACAACAAATGATTTGGGCGCCCAGAGGGCTGGTGGGACATTTTACGATCCCCCCCAAAAAAACCAAACAGGGGCCAAAACTTTAGTAACACCATGGATTTTGGCTCCCTCGCCGAGGCCGTTTTGGACGCCCTGACACCTCGCGGAACCCCCCAAAAAAAGTCCAGGGGAGGGGGTAGGGGGAGGGGTCAAAAATCCCCGTCCCGCCCGCAAGCCGTCTCGCTCAATCCCACCCGCCGTCCCAACACATACGTAGCACCCGAGTCTGACCTGAGCCTCAGCATATTCAGCAGTCGCCTTTGGATGGGCAGCTACTGGGGGCCAATCCGCTGCCGCCGCCGCCGCCTCCACCGCCGCCGCCGCCACAGACGCCGCGGACGCCGCCGCCGCGCCGCCGCCGCCGCCGCCGCGCCGCCGCCGCCGCCGCCGCCGCCGCGTCGCCGCCGCCGTCGCCGCGCGCCGCGCGCCGCCCGCCGCCACCGCCGCCCCGCCGCAGCCGCTCCCGGTGCCAAATCGCCGCCGCCAGCCGGTGCCGCCGCAGCCGCTGCCGCCACCGCCGCCGCCGCCGCCACCGCCGCCGCCGCCGCCGCCGCCGCCGCCGCCCCCGCCGCCGCCGCCGCCGCCGCCGCCGCCGCCGCCGCAGCTGCCGCAGCCGCCGCAGCCGCCGCAGCTGCCACAGCCGCCGCCGCCGCCAAGTGTACTCTGTATTGTTTGTTGACAGGGATGGCCGGGGGAGGCCGCATCGGGGTGGCTGCGCATGCTCCGATTTGGGAGGCATAATGTGTGTTTTGTACGGTTTTTTTTCACAGGGATGTTTTGGGGGGCCTTATGGTTCTGGGTTGGCTACCAGTCGCCTGGGGGAGGGGGTGTTTATTAATAGGGAGCAGTGATGAACCCCTCCCCATAAGGGGAGAGTTTTTTTTTTGGAAGAGGGGAGAGGAATTTCGTTAGACCACCTGCGCCCAAAGGGCTGGTGGGATATTTTTTGTCGCCAGGTCGATGCCCCCACCTGCCTTTCTCCAGCTCTTCCGATCGAATATGCACCAGCTAAGGCACTTTTGCCTCTGATGCGCCCATGTGGCGAAAGTTGATTTACATCGAAAGCCAGAGCTTTTTTTCAGGGCAGGGAGTGTGTGTGCATGTGTTCGGCAAGGATGGTCCAATGGAGACAAGCACGCGGGATGATGCTTTGCGGAGGCAGCATGGGCTGGATCCAGTTGTCCGTGTCGCAGCAGGGGTGCCACAGGAGGATGACGAGGAGGATGGAACGGAGAGGGCAGGCCGAGCTTTTCCTTGCGTCATGTGCCACGACGAGCAGATGGACCATCCTCACGAGTGGGCCAACCGGATGCTGTGTGGACCGTGACGGGGTAGTGGCACTGGCTATGTCTTCTCTGCAGGGCTAACGGCACGATTGCGTTGAACAGTGCTCATCCGCATCGGTGCGGTTGGTGCGACTTTCAGTGCGAGTCAAGGACGCGTCCGATCCGTCCCGAAGAAGACTCCGTTCAGCTTCCCAAGTGATCAGAACGTCAAGCCAGCAGTCGTAGCACCTGTCACAAACCCGTTTGGCTTCCGGATGCAGGGCGATCCGTGCGCGATAGCCGCGACTAGTCGTCGTGACGCGCCTGCAGGGCTTTGCGAATGGTACGTTTACTCCGCCTCCTGACCTTGTCTTTGATCCCCCCCCCGCCTTCTCTTCCTTGCCCTCCTCGTCTTTCTCCTAGGTGGCCGAATGGCGAAGCAGGAGTGGAGGGGCAGTGGCAAAGCGAGAAAAGGAGGCGCAGGCGCAGCTCCCACCACTGAGCCATGCATCCGGCAGGACATGTGGGCGGAAGAGTGCACGAATGGCAACTCCTTGGGTAAATCATGGCAAATGCGAGAATGTGGCACGCCATTGAAACGGTCAATGTGTGGCGGGGCCCGGGCTCAGAATCGGGGTTGCGACAGGCGCAGCTATGGCAGATATATTGGCTATGTCCCTCCTGCGACAAGGAGGAGGAGGAAGGAGGAGGAGGAGGAGGAGGAGGAGGAGAGGTAGGTGGAGGAGGACTACAGCAGTTTTGCGCCTGCATGACTTCCTGGTGCAGAGAAGAGCGTTGGAGCTGGGAAGCCTCGACCGCCGACGACAGCTGCGACGCCAGATGATGCGTGGCACCCATACGTCGAACGACCCGATTTCTCCTCAGTGCGGTCAGGAACGTTGACTTAGCGTTGCGCGCCGCTGGTATTGGCCCACCCCGCTTCGGCGAGACACGCTAACCACGTCCTGGTTTTCGAGCACAAGCGGTCCGAGCCTTCTCCAGCCTCCCGCCTCGCGGAGCGGAGCGATACGCTATCAGCTCGCAGGGCAGACCGTGTCACCAGGGTCGCCGCCGCGACACGCCAAGCAAAGTTCTTGAACGTAGCTTTTTTCTAGGTCTCTGACAGTTCCCAACACGTGTCACCACGGAACCCCTCCTGAGGAGTCACCAGGCCAGGTCTGTCGATCTGTCCGTCGATTTGCCTAGAGCATTTCGTGCGTGCCCGCTCGAGGCTGGTTCAGTGCGGGACGCCAGCACGTTTTAGGATCATGCCATGTGCGCTCCGTGCGTGCCCGCTCGAGGACGGTGTTCACCAGTCCAGACAGTGGTCCCAGGATCGCTCCATGTGCATTCCGTAAGTGCACGCTCGACGACGGTGTCCTTGGTCCAGACAATGGTGCTGTCCAGGATCTTTGCTGTTGCATTCCGTGCGTGGGCGCTTGGGGATGATGCGCGCAGACATGACATTGGTGCGTCGCGGGACTGTGCCTGGTGCATCCCGTATGTCTGTCTGTCTGCCTGTCTGTCTGTCTGTCTGTCTGTCTGTCTGTCTGTCTGTCTGTCTGTCTGTCTGTCTGTCTGTCTGTCTGCATGCATGCATGCATGCATGCATGTATGTATGTATGTATGTATGTAGGTATGTCTGTGTGTATACATATATATATATATATATATGTATATATATGCACATACAACTATATACACATGTGTGTGTGTGTATGGGTGAGTGTGTCTGTGTGTATGTGTCCACTCGAGGCTGTTGCTTCCCAGGCCCAGACGTGGGTTGCGTCCAAGGATTCTTCCAGGTGCATCCTGTGCACGCCCCCAGACACGCCCCCTGACAAGTCGCCATGCACGTCCCCAGACACCTATGCACCGAGGCATGTCCATTTGAGACACCTCCAGGCACGTTCCAAGACACGTCCCGGGGCACGTCCCCAGGCACGTCCCCAGATTTGGTCCCAGGCACGTCCCCAGACGCGCCTCCAGAATCGCCCTGGCCTCAGACACGTGCCCTGACACGTCCCCAGATCTGTCCCCTGATGCGCTCCCGGGTTCGTCACCTGGCACGCCCCCTGACGCGCCCCAAGGCGGCACGCCCGCTTGACACGATCGCAGACAAGCCCCCAGACACCTCCCAAACACGTCACCTGAGACTTCCCTTCGACGCGTTCGTAGGCGTGCTCCCTTGTCACGGCCCCTGTGCACGCGCCTAGACTTGCCTTGCTTTTCAGGCAGCACAGTCCTCATGAAAATCGAAACTGCTATCAGGGGGCTTTGTTGGGGCAAATTCGAGTCACTGGCCCATGGAGCTCCCCACCCGTTCCCTGGAACAGTTTGTTTATCCTGAGTAGTTTTTGAGAGCGGGGGATTCTCAAGTGGCGGTCTGGGGGCCGCCCTGTGGCACGATTAACCTCCGAAGTGCGAGGTGCAGCGTTGACGGGAGATAGAAGCAGAGAGAGAGAGAGAGAGCGAGAGCGAGATTGAGGGAGAGAGAGAGAGAGAGAGAGAGTGAGAGGAGGATTGGGGAGAGGGAGGGCGTTGGAGGGAGGGAGGGAGGGAGGTAGGGAGAGAGGGAGGAACGGCGAGAGAGAGGCAGCGACCGAAAACGCGAAGCAACAACCTGGAATGACGCCCCCAACGCCTCCGTGGTGGCGCCTTTTGGGAGGGGGGTAGGGGCAAACATTAGAAAGCACTGCAACATCGGCCAGACCCCCCTGTCTTTTGTTCTTGTTGTTTCTTTGTTTGTTTGTTTTTTGTTCCAGCCCCCTCTCTCGACCCACCCCCCAAAGGCTTCTGGAGGAGGCTTCAGGGCCTCTCGAGTCACCCTCGCGGCGTCTGGAGGTGTTTCTGCGCATCCTCGGCACGTCCCAGAGCCCCCAGGGCAAGCCCCCGAAACTCTGGGAGAGGCGCCAGAGATGTTCGGGGAGTATCCCTTCTTTTTTTGGGGGGTGCCCCAGAGCGTCGCATGGAGGATTCAAACATACTGGAGATTTCTCACAGCCTCTGATCAAGGCTTCGCAGCCACTGGGGAAGCCTTGGAGTATGTTGGGCACGCCTGTGGGAGAACCCCGGCCAACTGCACTGAGCCTCTTGGAGATGCCCCAGAGCTGGTTGGATCGATCCCATGTATCTTGGGCGAGGAGTTGCTTGGCATTGGTTGGTTATGCTTGGCATGGCTTGGCATCGAGTCGTCGTGCTTGGCGTTGCTTGGCATTGATTGATTGTGTTAGAAATTTGTTGGTTGTGCTTGGCATTGATGGGTCTGGCTTTGCTTGGCATTGAATCATCGTGCTTGGCATTGAGCGGCATTGCGTGGTCGTACTTGGCATTGGTTGGCATTTGGGATTGCCTGGTCGTGCTTGACATTAAATGGTCGTGCTTGGTCTTACTTGGCATTGTTTAGTCCTGTGCGGCATTGCTTGGTCGTGCTTGGCATTGAGTGGTATTGCTTGGCGTTGGCTGCTTGTCATTGCCTGGCATCTGTGGGTCGTGCTTGGTACTGAGTGATCGTTCTTGGCATTGGTTGGTCGTTCTTGGCATTGAGTGGTCGTGCTTGGTATTGAATGGTGGTGCTTGGCATTGGTTGGCATTGGTTGCTCGTGCTCAACATTGCTTGGCATTGAACAGTCGTGCTAGGCAGTGCTCGACGCATTGGCTGCTCGTGTTTGGCATTTGGGCAGCATCTTTGTGGCTTGAGTTGTGTTACTGTGGTTGTTCGCTTGGTGCGTGTGTGTGTGTGTTCTTTACCAGAAAAGGGTGGCCACTCTACCTGCTGGCTCACTCGGTGAACGCGGGCCGGATGAATTACCTAGCGCTCACGACGCCAGCCCAGCATTTCGGGGACGCGGGCCGTACGTACGACGAGAGCGTTCTCGACGCGGCCGCCGCGGCAGTAGGCCAGCAATGGAGCGAGCGACAACCGGAGCAAGCCTGGTTCACTGTCGGAGGCTTGGGGTTGCGAAAGATCTCGGCTGAGATGGACGCGGCCTACGTGGGCTCCCGCGCTTTGACGCACGACCTGTGTGAGCAGATCCGCCTTGGGCACCAGTGGGACGACGCAGTCGCTGGCAAGCCGCTGGCCGACGCGATGGCCCGGATCATTGCCGCGGCTGGCGCTGCCGCCACGACAGTGGATTCGCGGAAGCAGCTGACGCAGTCCTGGTTGGGCAAGGCGCTCCGCGACAGGGCGGCGGCCAAGTGGCGTGAAGAGGGCCCGCCAGCTGACGGGGTAAGACTCAACGCACATTCAGCTCAGGGAGCGAACGCCGTGTACCAGCTGGCTCCATCCAAGACACTTGACATGCAAATCTCCCCGAGCCAGTTCGCCGACAACGTCGCGCTCCGGCTTGGTGCCGATGTTTTGGAGGAGGGGTTGGTGTGCCCAATGTGCGCGATGCCGATGGATGCGAAGGGGATCCACTGCCTGTCTTGCATGGGCGGTGGCGAGACGACCGAAACCCCTACCAGCATCCAGGACGTCTTCGAGGACTACTGCCACAGTGGCAGCTTGCGCCCAGTATCAGAGGCGAGAGGGCTACTCCAGGAGGACCCCCAGGAACAGGACGAGCGCAGGCCTGCCGATGTCTTGGTCCTCCCGCACCTCGCCCTCGCCACGGCACTCCCCAGACGGCAGCCGGGCAGTGCGCGCGGAGCGAGTCTGCTTGGACTTCGCCGTCGTCAACGCCCTGGGGCCAGGCCACTGGACCGACACTGTCTTGGCGCCAGGTCTCCCATCCGAGACGTACGACCAGGACAAGCGCAGGCGCAACCAGACGGAGGAGCGCTGCCGCGCCCAGGGGTTGGCTTTCCGGCCAGTGGCTTTCGCGCAACAGGGCGGCATGAGCAGGGGTGCGGACGCGGCCTTCCGGGCGGTCGCAGCGACAGCGGCACAGAAGGAGGGGCTGGAGCCAACCGGGGTGCGGCGCGAGATGCTGCAACGAGTTGCCGTCTTGCTGGCCAGGGGCTGCGCTACGAGGCTCGCGCGGCGGCGGGCCTGGGTGCACAGAGGCAGAGCAAAATGGCGGGCAGCAGTTGCCGCTTTGCAGCGGCACGTCGACGA